TTAGTTTCACCCCAGTCTCTTGTTCAGAAATAAGGAACATCATATTAGCTATGCCGTCAAACAAATCACCCGGCAAAGACAAAGTGAGTATATGCGTGTCATCAAACACAGCCTACCGGTAATTCTTGGGCCCCTCACCGGTATCATTAACTGTTCACTGTCGTCATCTTCGTTCCCTATAGCATGGAAAGAGGCAGAAGTTATCCCTTTGTTAAAGGATGGAAACCACGAGGAAGCATCAAATAACCGCCCACTTTCTCTCCTTACCTTTCTTTCGAAAATTTGTGAAAAAGTCGCCTTGGATCAATTTGGTTCGTATCTAATGAAGAACAAAAAATTGTCAACCCACCAGAGCGGGAACAAGAAACATCACTCATGCGAAACATTGAATCTTTTGACCGGAGATACTATCCTAAAGGCCATGGATGGGAAATTGGTTACTGCACTGATTCTAATAGATCTATCTAAAGCTTTCGACAGTGTAAATCATACTTTTCTCCTTACAAAACTTAGCAACGTCGGGGCTTCTCCAAGCGTTGTAAAATGGTTTGAGAGTTACTTGACCGGAAGAACTCAATCAGTCAGAATTGGATCAACTGTGTCTACTTCTCTCCCTGTTTCTTATGGTGTACCACAGGGTGCAATTTTATCACCTTTACCTTTTAGTATTTATACTAACGATTTGCCCTCATCAGTCCACCATAGTAAACTTGAATTGTACGTGGACGACTCCAAGATATTACTATCCTTCACTGTGGCTAACGTGGACTGTTTAAAGCAACAACTTGAGGAAGACTTGTATTTGATTGCAAACAGTTGTTCCGAAAATGAATTGCTTGTTAACCCGGGAAAGACCAAATACATGCTGATTGGCACACGGCAAAACCTACAACAACTTCCCGTAGATATGACCATAAACTTCCTCAACGAGACTATTACCCCCGTCTCCTTTGCCAAAGATCTAGGAATGACAATCGACTCTTATTTGACATATGACCAGCACATCACCAACCTGGTTTCCTCGTGTATGAATTCCCTGTGCCAAATAAACCGAGTCAAAAAATGTTTCGATAAAGAAGCTTTAACTCTCATCGTCTCGGCACTTGTAATGAACAAAATGTTCTATTGTTCAACGGTTTGGTCAAACACTTCGTCTACCAACATTAAGAAACTACAGTTGGTACAAAATTTTGCATGCAGGATAATAACAAATATTGGAAAGTTCGACCATATTTCGCCGGGCTTACGTGAACTTAACTGGCTCCCAGTAAAGGAACAATTACTACTAAGAGAGGCTATTATGATGTACAAATGTGTCAATGAACTTGCTCCACATTATTTGAGCGATTTATTCACAAAACGTTCTGACATTCATCAGCGAGATACACGTAGCCATGACTCACTGCAAATACCATTGTACAAAACTTCTGCAGGTCAAAGGTCCTTTCATTATAGAGGCGTTACACTCTGGAATGATTTGGACATAAAGTACAAAAAGTTAGACTCCCTAAAAACTTTCAAAAACGAACTGAAGCGAAGCATGCCAGAACAAATATATAAGTAGATAATTTTACCTTGTTAAACTTTATACAAATGTCTTACCTTTTTACCTTAATTTAAATTCTAGATTCTAAAACTTGTAAATAGAACAACATTTATTTTTTGTAAATCAGTGTTGAAAATCCCTATTTAGGGAACACAATAAAGTATGTATGTATATCTGCCATCTTTACCGCTGATGGACAACTTCTGGAATTCTTTTCACTGTTCGGTGGTGTGATTTATGGTGTCTTTTCTGTGGGTGGGGAAGGCACACTTGTAGTAGGTTCTTTGTCCGTGTTTTGCACCTCTTTCAACATGATAGGTTTTGCTGTACCCTCTTGCATTGTCATTTCCTCTTTTCTTAGAATGCTGATTCTCTGCTAAACGAGCCACAACTGAACGTTCTCTGTCTAGAAACTTCATTAGCGGAGTAAATGGTTGAAGTTTCTCCGCAGACGATAAATCACGATACTTTCGTCGCCAGTCGACTTTAAGATGGGTAGGTAACAAATCAGTTAGGTTGTCTACATCTCGCATGGTTAAAGTGTTTAGCTGGTTGAGCTCTTCCAATTGACTGTAGGCAGATTCAACTTCATCAACTAATTCAACCAGAGCTTTATAATCTTCTTCTTTTACAGGTTTTAGCCTTTGAAGATCTTCCAAAGCAGCTTGTACACTGGCAGTGGTATCTCCATAGTGACACTCTAGCTTTTCCCACATGATGTCGTAAGCTTCGGGCTTGGTGACAAAAACAGATTTGATGCGGTGTTTGGCTTCTCCTTTAACTGAGTTCTTAAGTTCGTGTGCTAATGCAGTTTTATTATAACGTGCAGACTCAGCCATCGACTTCCAGACTGCCTTGAACTCTGGCCAGTCTTTCCTAAGTCCGGAGAATGTGGGTAGGGCCATCCTTTTTAGCCGAATGGTGGAATCTTGGTGGGAAGGTCTTGTATTAATCAACGGGACTGTGGGTTGATGTCCAGATGGGGTTGTATACATAGGACTGGTTGACAAATTGCTCCTGGACTGATTGTGGTTGCTATAATAGCTGGATGCCACTCTTGGCAGATTTGATCCCATTGGCATTGCAAATGCAGGGAAACCTGTTGATAAATTTGTAGGATTCTGACATTGCTGAGACAAATGCGCTTGTCCCGATGTGGAACTGCTTTCCGAATGAAAGGTGGTAGAGGGAATGAAGGTTTGAGCTGATGTATTCAAGCAAAAACCCGTACTGGTCCCAGGTAAGGTTGGTAGGGGGGTGTTGGCCTTTGTAATGTTGGTGGTAACTTGGGTGCCAAAGGGACTGGAGTAATTAAGGGGGGAAGCGTTAATTGGCAACAAAGGTGGAATTGTGTTGGTCTCGATAGCAGGGGTGTCAATAATTTCAGGGTGGGTTGCAGTATAAATGGGCTCAGGGGGGATATTGCTGTTGATTGCCGAGGGGGAAGTGGTGCTGATGGTCTCAGGGGGGGTGTTGATATCCGGGGGGGTCATGGTGTTGATGGTCTCAGGGGGGTGTTGGTGTTGATTTCCGGGGGGAGACATGGTGTTGATGGTCTCAGTGTTCTCAGGGGGGTGTTGGTGTTGATTTCCGGGGGGAGACATGGTGTTGATGGTCTCAGTGTCCTCAGGGGGGATGTTGGTGTTGATCTCCGGGGGGAATACGGTGTTGATGTTCTCAGGGGGGGTGTTGGTTTCAGAGGGGAGAGTGGCATTTTCAATGTGTAATGATTTAACAAATGCTTGTTGCTCATGCAAAAACAAGTTTATCTTTCTGATGCAATTGTAAACTGCTCTGATAATAGCATCGACTTCTTCTTGGATTAGGTTAACTTGCTCTTGTGTTTCAATCGAGCCAAGTTTTGCCATGTTATCACATATTATGTTCAAAATTGACTGTAGATCACTCTTATCTAGTTGTAAAGCTGCCATATTCACATTTTCCAGTTTAAAACTCTCATCAACGACTGTGATTAGTTCATGAATTCTACAAATGTCATTCTTTAGGGCAACTTTGACAGGCCCAGCACTTTGTTGTCTAGCTTTTTGTTCGATTGTTGTCTTTACACTAACAAATACACTCCTAGCTTCTCGATAGCACCTTTTTACATTGTCTCTGTAAGTCATAATGTCTTCACCATTAACTACACGGTGTTCAGCGTATTTTTCGTCAGATACAATGAGTTCGTATTCCTCATTTATAACGCAAAAATCATCAAATACCTTTTCAAGTTCGAACATTGAATCCTTTAAAATACCATATTCACAATCTCTGTTGTAGGCTCCGATCAGACGCCTCGCAGCGACAGTGACCGCCATTTTAGCCTTGCTTCTTTCTTGTTTTTTATCTTCAACATTCATGGCTGATTCCTGGATTTGTCTTCAAGCAATACACAAGTTTTGGGCTGCAAAACTCCTTTGTATTTAGGCTTCTTCCAGGGCCTTTTTTAAGGATTTTCCCGTGGGGGGGGGGGCATTTTTTGAAAAGGGACCTTTCTGTGAGATAACATATTAGAAGGGGGTAGCAATGGCTGAAAGCCACGTGTGTGGCAAATATACCACGCATGAATGGGGGGGGGGGGTCTGGGGGTGTATTCCCCCAGAAAATTTTTGAAATTTGAACCCCAGAAATGTCATTTCCTGCATTCTGAGCATCCAAATTTGCTCCAAAATTTATCCTAACTATACTTGTATTTAAAATAAATAAAGGAAGAAACGCACAAAAAGTAAAATGTTTGAAATTTGAACCACGGAAATGCCATTTCCTGCATTCTGAGCATCCAAATTTGCTCTAAAATTTATGCTAACTATAGTTGTATTTGAAATAAAAGATGGAAAAATGCACAAAAAGTAAAAAAGACTATTAACTGTAATTTATCATTACTTATTAGAGGGATAATCCCAAGAAAATTTTTGAAATTGGAAACCGTGAAATGCTATTTCCTGCATTCTGAGCATCCAAAAAATAAAAAAAATATTAACAATAATTTATCATGGCTTAGTGGTAAAAAAGTAACAATTTAAATCGATTTCGTTAAACAAGGACAGAGGATAAAGCCTAAAACTTACTTTCCGTTCATCTATTTGTTAATCTTCGCTGGATTGTTTGTATAATTTTAGGAAAAAGGGACTTTTCCTGGGGGGGGGGCAAAATGTGATTCCGTGGGGGGGCACAAGGGGAGACTGGGGGGGGGCAAATGCCCCCCCCCCCAGCTTGTATGTTAAAAAAGGCCCTGGCTTCTTCACAATTCTGGAATGCCACAGCGAACGTTAGTGTTTTACTGTACTGGGATTGCCAGTAAATGAGGCGAAAAACAAGTTTCAACTCACTTTAATTATCAAAATATGGAAAATTACAAAATAATAGATTTAGGTAAAACACTGTTTTCCTTCGCACGCCATATTAGCTCCTATGCGCATGCTCTAACAAAACGTAAATAAACATCGTTCAAAAGGCGATCGCAGAGATTATTGTCTACAACTTTACTACAACCCAATACAGTGTTAGAGGTTAGGTGCCGCGAAATTATCATATTGATAAATTCGGTCGTGTTTAACAATTACTCATATAGTAAATTCAAAGGTGGAGCTCATGCTGTTTAATTAAGAGACCTTCATTTTGTTAGTGATTACAAAATTATAAACTGATGCACCTCAGTCACATGTGAGAAGTGTGCTTCCAGTTTCACACTACCAAACACGGCAGGTTTTCCCCGTTTTCTTCCTGTGATGCTTTATAGTTTCTAAAGGGTACTTTTTATTATAGGGCCACGTTCACCGCCCGTCAATATTCGAGTAAAACCCGCAAAATACCCTGAAGAATTCATTTTAACTTGGGATGTAAGTAACGCAGTGAATTAAGGGCAGTTCGACCCATCTTATGAGTTCAATAGCGAAATAATCTTAAATCAAAGTTAAAGTTTATGTTATACAAATAATGAATGTTTATGAGTGCAATGGTAAGAATATTTTCATGAGGTGAAAGATGGAATGTTCCATTCAACGAGGCGACAGCCGAGTTGAATGGAACATTCCATCTTTCACCGAATGAAAATATTCTTACCATTGCACGAAGAAACATTCATTATTTGTTTTATATAATACCAAAAGTCCAGAACAGACTAATAGAATCGTACGAGAACATTTTGAGGGATGCGATTTATCGAAAACACAAAGAGTGCAATTGTACTATACGTTTTATTCCATTGCACTCGCGGAGAGTGCAATGGAACGTGTTCCATTGCACTCTTGGGAAATGGAATTTTCTATTCAATATCACGTGACCATAAACAGCCAATTAAACGATTAGAATTTAATAAGGTATTATATAAAAACTAATTAACATAATTTTTTATCAGATATAAAACCTCCGACATGGTAGTGATTTCCTTTGTCTTTTTCTCATGAATTGTTAATGAGTTTTTAAAGCAAATTAATTATATTAGTATTAACTATATACTTCTCATATATCTAATTTAGTCTCCTCCCAGAGAGACTTGGAACAGCAAGATTATAAAATATACTATAGAACTTCAAGAAGATGGAAAACGTGGGAAATTCACCATCAGTGGTATTCGAGAAAAATCGAGAAGATATAGACTGACTAGCCTCAAGAAATATACAACATATAAGATCAAAATGAAAACAGTTAACCAGGTTGGCGACAGTCCTTTCTCCCCCGCCATTATTTATCAAACAAAGGAATATGGTATGTAACAAGTACCTTATCTGTGGGGAGGAGGGGAAGGGTGTAGAAACATGTCTTGAGAAACGTTCTTCTAGCCATGTTTCCCAAAGGTTTGGAACAAGTTGTTATCATCTTATAACAAGTTTGATGAGGCGAACAGGCTCATAGGCTCCCCCAACAAGTTGTTTCATCAAGTCCGATGTCGTTAGTACAGCCGTTACTCTCGACGAAGCGCGCGAGAGAACGTCTGTGAGTTGGATGCATAAAGGCCATTGCAAGGCATGTTAAACGGTGCAATGACTCGTGCAACTTGTCTCGCAACGCCATTGCGATCAGTTGCATGAAAAATTGCACTGTGTAACAGGGCCTTAATCCTTGTTCAAGTCACGTGGATAGTTCCCAAATTTGGGACCGCCTCTGATTGGACAGTGCTTTATTTGAATAATTTATGACAAATGAAGCTAATTGATAATTAGCATGCGTTTAAAAAAACACAAAAATTTTAAAATTTCAGATCAAGAATCAAGATTTCCTTCGGGGCATACAAAGATTTGAAAGACTTGAAATACAATCTGAAAAACGATACACGAGAAATATATTGCATATATTTCTCAATGAAGAGATTTGTTTTGAGTGCGAACAATGCTGAACGATGATCATTGCCGGCAAGTCCGGTGTACAAGCCTATAGTACAAGCTCAGTTCTTGGCGTGCGTATATATGGCGTAGTTTGTTTACAAAGACAAAACATTAAAGTGGAAGTCAAGTCCGTATGTAAACAAACGGTTTGTTTACATTTTGAACTGCTGTATTTTTTTAAAATATGAGTGTACTGTCTGAATATCTAACACCATTTTGGTAATGGTTCGCTATGCTCTAAATGAATATGAAATAGAGTTTATGTTCAGAAAAATTCGAAACATTCGAAATTTGGGCAATGTTTACATTAGAGGTCCTCACATTGTTATGAGCAGAACAGATGCGCAGAACGGACTTGACTTCCACTTTAAATATAAACACAACTGGTTATTTAAAAAGTGCATTTTAAAGTAATTAAAAGTTAACTGGCCAAGTAAGACGAAGTTAAACACATTACATGTAAAGAAAATGCTCTATCGCGAGGAGTCGGGGGGTATAAACAGATTGTCAATTTATTAAATTGTCAATTATAAATTGTCAATTTCCATCCGATAGTTTGTTGTATTTTATATATTTGTCAGCATTGTTCGCTGAGTTTCCAAACACTAGAATTTTATCTTGATTTTCTTAAACTTCGATACAGCACAAAATTAAACTCAACAGATTATATTTCTGGTCTTTCAAACCTTTGTATGCACCGAAGGAAATCTTGATTCTTGATCTGGAATTTAAAAAAATTTGTGTTGTTATTTTAAAGGCACAGTTCAGCCTTTTGAACGATGGTTTTTAAGGCGCATTTGAGCCCTTTTAATTGAAAAAACTAACTAGGAAAATCAATTAAGCATAATTCAAAATCAGTAAACTCGATGTTTTTAACAATATAAATGTTTTAAAATGTTAAAAACATTAAGTTTGGTGATCTTGAATTATGCTTAATTGATTTTCCTAGTTAGTTTTTTCAATTAAAAGGGCTGAAATGCGCCTTAAAAACCATCGTTCAACAGGCTGAACTGTGCCTTTAAACGCATGCTAATTATCAATTAACCAATGAAATAGCTTCATTTGTCATAAATTGTTCAAATAAAGCACTGTCCAATCAGAGGCCGGTCCCCAAATCTGGGAACTATCCACGTGATCTTAACAAGGATTATGCATCCAACTCACAGACGTTCTCTCGCGCGCTTCGTCGAGAGTAACGGCTGTACACAAGCTAGATTTCGTCTGCACGTAACAGATTATTAACAAATTCGTAGCAATTGAACAACCTGTATAAGGTCTTGTTGGAACAACTTGTAAGTCTTTTACCGTCATCAACCTGATAACAACTTGTTTCTAGGCTTGTCACGACAACTGAGAACAAACAGTGCGAACACATCCTGATATTAGCTTGAAAACAATCTTATTACAATTAACTTGTTTGCAGATCTGTAATAACTTCTGTAACAACTTCTGTAACAACTTTTACGTGTGTCAAAAACATATCTGGTGTTTCCATTAATTAAAATGATTTCTCTTAGTTCCAGAAGCTCCACCATCAAATATCCGGGCAATGGGCAAGTCTGGATCGAGTATCGACATTTCCTGGGACGAAGTTCCTGAGTCAAGAAGGAATGGTATTGTGCGTGGTTACAAGGTACCTGTAACTACTGTTACGGCGATAATGTCATTTCTGGCGATTTTAAGCAATTGTCCATTGCTTTTGCTGTTGTAATTAAAAATGAAAAAGGTGTTTTTAATTCAGTTTGCTCTGTCCGGCAAAGTAAAACAAACTTTTGCTACTTTAGTAATCCAATTATCAGTCTCCAGATTGAACAAGAAAGTAATTAATTTATCCTTAGGCAATGTCTATTAATCCATGAATTTTGATATTAATAAGTTTTATGGTTTTTGAGTTATCTTGCTGACAAACACACACACACACAGGCACACACACACTGACAAACGCGGATGAAACTAACAATATACAACTCCTGGTTGAGGTAACACAGAGTTTGACCAAGTATCCAGACCGTATTTTCAATGACCATGCAGTAGCTGTCTATTACGATTATATCTTAGATATTTTACCGTCTGGTGCAATATGCTCCACAAGACTTCATTGAGATCAACCTGAGAAATGTAAAACAATATACACTGGAAAACCTTCTCGGCTACACTCAGTATGATATCAGAATACTCGCCTATACTCGGATTGGGGATGGGAAACGAAGTGATCGCCTTCATCTATACCCACGAACTTTGGAAACCAGTAAGTAAACATCTAGCCTGAGCACAGATCTGCGTTTTGCTGCCCTAAAATTGGCAGGTGGGATGGTTACTTGACTTTGTAACAAATACTCGACGCCAAGTAATCGGCGTTTACCTGGATTTTCCGGTCGATTTCCATATTTGTCATGCTGGTAGGGCCTCTTTTAAGAATTTGTCAGTGGACGGGCCTTCAAGAAAAAGAGACCCAGAAACTTTGTTGGGGACAGGGATTTTTGAACCTCTCATTGGACTTGATTTTCTTCAGAATTTTTAGACAATTTTTTATATATTTCATCCTCTAGGCAAAGGTTTGGTCAAGGGAATATTAAAACACTCTTCCTAACTAAGTCATTCCTTCCTTTTCTTCTTTACGTATTTTAGGCAGAAAGGTCCTTACTGGGCGGACGGGGGCAACATAGGTCACTGGAGTGGCCAACATTGGGGCTGGGGGGCATGCCTACCCTGCCTATATGTTAATAGAGGCCCTGTTGTCGGTCGTTTGGAGGTCAACGTGGACAAAAGTGCCAAATTTTCCTCAGACATTCAACTTGATTTTCAGGATGGGGGAATGTTAATGTATTTCCTTATTATATTAACATCCTGAATTCAAACGCTAATCAGATCTTCATCCTTGCAATCTCTATCCAGACTTAACCCCAACCTCTTAATTAACAAATACTCAGCGAAGTGGAGGTAAATAGTGTAATGATATTCACCGAAACACGGAACGTTGAGGTGAACATCATGCATGCAAGGATATTCGGAGCTGAGCAATCAATCAAATTGCGCGAAGAGCACTATCCACTTCCCGAGTGTATGCTAACAAACGTTTATCCAGCCGGCTTGATGTCCTACCTAATCCTTGCCCTAATCCCTAACATATGTGTAAAAACCTCCCGAACGTGACTATCAATACACGCTTCCGGAAAGTACGTCGCCTTGGCTATAGAGCCTCGTTTTGATGATATCTTACACGTTAGGGCTTTTACGAATGGCACATTCACGAAAACGAGGCTCTATAGCGAAAGTGACTAGGTTCTGGAAAGGTGGATTGACAGCAATGAGTACCATAATGTTCTTTTTCTCTTTTTTCAGTACCTAGCGGATTTCCATCTAATGTGACTTTCACGAAGCGTAGTAACAACAAACTGACCGTATCCTGGAGACATCTTAATCAAAGTTTGCGGAATGGCATACTGATAGGATATATAGTTTGCTATTCCGACAAAGCAAGATCAAGTAACCTGAGTTGTTCTCACCAAAATGCTTACTCGAATAGCACTGTGATCAATAAACTTCAGCCGGCTACAAAGTACTTTGTGACTGTCGCGGCTGCTACGAGTGTTGGGTATGGACCCAAGAGTAGTGAAATCAGCAAAATCACAAATGGAGGTAAAACACCGTTCAGATTAATATAAATTTGTTGGAGAAAATTTGTTATGGTGGCGTAAAGATGACAAAAAATGGTATCTTTTCAACGGCCAAGTAATTCATGAATACTATGTGTGTAGCAACTAACACTACCTTCGCACGTCTAAATAAGAAATAATTACAAAGAGAAAATATATGTCTAATTGACTTTGATGCTTCAATACGGAACACGTATTGTTAAGGCTTTGAGCAAGTTGGCTTATTCCCTTTTTGCTGGATTAGTTTTGTTACAGTTCTACTGCAAGTTTCGTGCGGACGCGTGTGCGTCCTTTGTTGAGTGTGATTATGCTACAAATGCATTCATTTTAACTTGCTAACTTGCCCATTTAGGTTCACGAAAACTTGACTTGAATATTCCGTTATTACAATATCTTTTTTTAATAATATAGTATTTGTGATTTTTTAGAGCGTGTGGATCCTGTTGCGACGTCTTATTCAAGTCTAGAACTAACTATAACCAAACCTGCGTCGCATATCAAGTAAGTATTTGGCATGATAATTATTAGGGAGCTTTAGATTTACTACGACTATACGACTACGGGATTCGTTGTTTGGACATGCATATGCATGTATACGCTATCTCATACAATTACGTATACGCATGCAATAAGCTCGCAGTATAAAGCGCTTGTTTTACTATGACACTTTTCAAATATCCCGTTGTCAAAAGTCAATTATATCCGCCCTCTAGCAGGAATCGAGGCTGCAGTCCTTCGCTTCTTTTGCACCGCTCTACCAACTGAGCTACGCAGAGGCAGTTGTCGAGCTCAGCCAGATAATAGAGAGTTTGAGCAAGACAACGAAGTACGAAGACGAAGGCATACTTGACAATTTTTGCCGTCTGTACATTATCTTGCGCATACTGAGTTGGACGTCACTGGTGGTTGCACAACGTGTCTTCCCATGTGTCGCTGTTTATGAATACTGACCATAAATCATAATTCTTGCCCTGATCCAGAAAAAAACAGCGAGACATAAAACTATATATCCCGTCTTTGTCCTTCTGCCTTCGTGCAGAACGAAGTTCACAACGAATTTTGCAAAAATATTCGTTGTGAACGAAGGCAGAAGACGAAGACGGGATATGGATTCATGTCTCGCTGTTTTATCCTGATCAGGGTAAGGATTTGGGTCAGCATTCACAAACAGCTAGACATGAATCTCTAATCTGTCTTCACTCCTGACCCTAAACTCAGAATGTGCAAGGTAATGTGCAAGACAGGCAAAAATTGTCAACCACGTCGTCGTCGTCCGACTTCGTTTTCTTGCTCAAACTCTCTAATATTAATATGGCGTAATTCTGATAAGAATAATATGGCGTATCCAAAAAACAAATCTCTTATAGTCGTAGTTGTATTCGTAATAAGATCTAAACTATCTATAACACTTGGCTAAGTTAGAAAAACACAAAGCGAAGATTAGCCAAACAGGTGAGTGACATTATTGCATGAAGAATTCTTGGGATTTTGCAAACAATGAAATGCACATTCCGTTCACGTCAGCTATAGGCCAACAGGTATATGTCATGAATACTGAAACTGTCTGTACCAGTGTAGGTAGTACCAATGTGAAATTGCTGTGCTGAGTGGTTATATTACTACCTGAAATAAACAAGCAGAAACTCGACGTTTCGAGCGAAGGCCGTTCGTCAAGTCTACTAACTCTTGAAGAATGTTTCTGCTTGTTTATTTCAGGTAGTAATATAACCACTCAGCACAGCCAGAGGCGTAGCCAGGGCTGGGGCTGGGGGGCGGCCCCCCTAGCAAAATTTTGGGCCCCCTCTGATAAAATGTATTGTATAAAAAAGTGAATCCTTGATTATATAGCTTCATGCTGTCAATAATGCAAAAATTCTGTAGAATATATGCTTTGCTGCGCATCAGTGTGAAACCTAAAATCTTGTTCGCTTATTTGCGGCACACAGCTTGAAACACATACCTTTTCTAACCCTAATTATTTCAATATGTATTAAATGAGAGTTAGATGAAGTTTAAACCAATCTGTTCTTTTTACCAGTGGATTTTTAACGCGGGCTCGGTGAAAAATCACATGTGTCGACGTGACAATTAATTTTATCCAGCACTGCACAGAATGTCTTGCGCGAACTTTGCGTCTCGCATGGGCGTCAATCCTGGGGGATGGGGGGACGCGTCCCCTCAGTTTTTGGAGAGGGGAGGACGAATATCTAATTATTCGTAAACTAAAAACCTATTGCCTGCTATGCTATTCATCCAGAATTGTGGTTGGAACGAAGACATTTAATAAGATCTACAACTTATGACCTTTTTGCAGCCGCTGGGAGCAAATAGTGACATCGCATATGTTGTATGAATACTAAAAATTATTCAAATTGAATTCAAATTGGTACATGTGCATGTAATTTACAAACATTTACATAAAGGCACTATTGGTCGTATTCACTTCCTGTTCTATAACTGGCAAGCTGCAGTAAATGAGACAATAATTCGTTTTGCTTGTTTTTGTTTGGGCCCCTATACTTACATCATTTCATTCTTATACATTTAGTCAGTTCGAATTATTATATTGAATAAGAAATAAAAGTATATAACAAATATAAAATAAAACATTAATTTGCATATAAATTTAATTATATATATTCAAAGTGGAAGATACTATTTATGTATATTTACAGTAAAGAAGGTGATAATATATTTTAAACTATTATACATCTATTATTGAGCTAATCGACATAATCGTAATTTACTAATTTAACGACTAAATTAAGATTTAAAACTAGATAATTTTATTTTACCATTACCAAAAGTTCAAATATAGTAAAATTTTAAGCAAAAAGATTCCATTTTTGTAGTTTCTCGCCTGATCCCAATTACAAAAGTTGTAGACATAGCACTGCAATCTAACTAAATGAATGACAAACAACTAATATAATTATATTTTTAACTTTGACGTGCTTTATCCCACTTGCACAACTTTGTTTTTTAGCGGATTTCTCACATGGTTAAAAAATGGATTTAAGGTCATGCACATTGTACTATATCTTTACAAGTGCCTCCAAAACGCTGGAAATGCCATTTCAGTGTACCAAAAATAAAAAAAAAATTCGGGTAGCATACCACCGGACCTTCCTAATTTGGAGTACTAGTCCGCCCCCCCCCCCAGCTTTTTGGATAGATTGACGCCCTTGGCGTCTCGAGTCACTGGCGTCTTGGCCCCACCTGGGTTTTTGCTGGCTCCTCCTGACCAAAAATCCTGGCTACGCCTCTGAGCACAACAATTTTATATGTCATGAAGGAGCCCATATATTGGCTTATCCAGATTATGCATAGTCCAATGATTTTCTGTAATAATGGCATGATTTTAATTCAGAGAAGTGATGATCATCGTACAAGTTGCTCCAAAGATTAATGAAGTGGAAGACATTGGAGAAAGCGACTTGAAACCTTACCAGGCAAACACGCAAGATCCTTATGTCACTGCCTATTTGAAAGCTGATGTTCTACCTCTGACATTCGTGATCGGTGATGGCATGCAATATAATTCTGAAAAACAAAGATACTCCAACCAGCCTCTAAAACAGAACTCAAGTTATATCGTGTTCCTGAGATTTTTTGAAAGTCAGGTAATGTAATTCTGTAAAAGCACAACTTGTGCATGGCCGTAGGAACCTCGAGGGCAGGGAGGGGGGCTTGAGCCCTCCTAACCTTTAGAAGCAGAGGGCAGCATGAACCCCCTAAAAATTCAAATTTCTAAGTGAATCTCGAAGTGAATGCACAGTTGCAGACGTTTTGAGTTTGCTTAATACAGATGTATGACGCAGGGGAAGATTGAATCCAGATTGAAACCTCATTCTATATTTCTATCCCAAATTTGACCCCTAAATGCAGGAAAACGCGTTTTAGAGAGTTTCAAACATTTTCCCGGGGGCATAGCGACCCTATATAGCGACGGGTCATGCCTTCGGCGGTTGTCGTTCAGCGCTCGCCGTTCAGCCCCCCCCCCCCCCTAACTTTAATCATCTTCCTACGGCCCTGAACTTGTGTGAGTTTAAGTTTCGGATGAAAATTTGATAATTGAATATTTTATTTTCTAAAGGACTCGTACTACTCGACAGAGTGGAGCAACAGTGTTAGAACGTTGGCAAAACCTCCAGGTGAGTTTTCGATAAATTATTATGATAGTTAGAAGACAGGTGATGGTTGCATATGGTATATATATATATATATATATATATATATATATATAATAGACGAAACGTTAAAGTTTACATTCATTTTAAAGCGTAGCCATTCAGCTTTCTAACAGTGGGTTGTTTCTTAAATTTGACTCATTGGTTCGCGGGTAATAATACTTTACTTTATTGCGATTGGAGATTAAAAAAATTGAGATGGAATAACAAATCGTTCTCATGAAAATAACTGATTTTTTCATCAAAACAAAAAAATGTTGCATTTTATTAAATGGATTGTAACAATAAGTATAATTACGGCTTTTCTTCCACTATTTTTAACTCAGTTTTAAACTTCAAATGTGATATAATTTTGGCTTGGACCATCTAAGCTGCCTGACATCAACTTGCTATAATTTCTGTTTACATTACATCGCAATTCGATGACACTCTGGCTCAGACATATATATATATATATATATATATATATATATATATATATATATATATATATATATATA